CGGTTTTCTTTGGCAGCTGTGTGGCTCCTATGTCAGAGCTACCAGAGGTGCCCTGGGGACCCCTCCAGGCTGAGGTATTGAATACAGGCTCGAGTGGGGGGCCTCCCTCGAGGTGGAGGTGGACCTGACTCCTCCGTTGGCTTTTAAAACAGTCTAGGAAGGCAGATGAGTAGGGGCAAGTTTGGTGCCATGGGGGACAGAAGCCATTTTGAGGTGGGGGGGTGGATCTTGGCTTAACATTTCAACATGAAGAAAACTTGTTTCTGAAAGCAGAGGTCTGCAGAAACTGCCATGATTGAGCTCAGAATTCCTGGGTCAGGCTTAGAACTGGGCTCTCATCCAACACCAGCCCTTCCATGGGCGGACCTGTGTGGCGGCAGGTAGGGAGAAAGAATGAATTTGCGAGGAAAGACTGTCACACCCAAAGTCTTAAGAGCAGCCCTGCCATGCATAAGTGACGAATGCCGTGCTTTATTCACTTTCTATCGCTCATCATTCACGGCCAATTTAATGGTGTGAGGGTGCATACCCTGGGTTCTAGATGCTGAGAGTTTAGCTGTGGAAAAGACCACCGAGTCTTGTTCTAGTGGGGCTACTGTTGTGTGGGCGGGGGGGCCCATGAACAGGGGAACAGGGCCGTCACATGGGTTGTACCCTTGAAGTAAGGACTTGATGGCTGACAGTGCTGAGTGGAATTTCAATGCAAGCCATATGCAAGTGTACCTTTTCCAGTACCACATTGAAAGTACAAAAAATGGGGGCACCTGGGTGGCTCAGTCGGTTAAGCGACCTACCTAGGGCTCAGGTCATGATCTCGTGGTCCGTGGGTTCGAGCCCCGCGTCGGGCTCTGTGCTGACAGCTCAGAGCCTGCAGCCTGCTTCAGATTCTTTGTTTCCCTCTCTCTCTGCCCCTTGCCCACTCCTGCTTTGTCCCTCTCAAAGATATGTTAAAAAATCTTTTTAAAAGTACAAGACGCAAGTAGAATTCATTCTAATATTTAATCCAGTATATGTTATGTAACCGATACATAATTTGAGAATTTTGGTTTCTTGCATCAAGTCTTCTAAATCTGGTATTTTACACTTAGAGCACATCTCCATTTGGACTTGGACACATTCCATGTACTCAGCGGGCACATCTGGCTAATGGCTTTGGGCAGTACAGGCTTAGAGCTCTAGGGACAGTGGTACAGGTCCACGTTAGATTGGGTAGTCTTCTAAGCAAGACCCATCAGCTGAGGACAAGCAGTAGCTCTTAAAAATGACCTGTTCTGTGTTTGCTGCTGCTGGCCCACACATCATGCTAAAGCATTTTTATTTCAGCTGATGAAAACCGCTTTTTTTTTTTTTTTTTTTTTGGCAGTTTTGCTCTGAGCACTGTGGGATAGGATACCCTGAGGACAGGCAATAAGAGATCCCTCAATATTCTAGGAGGTGACAGTGGAGAGAGTGGTTAATTCTTGCAGGCTCTGGGGCTTCTAGGGGCTGCCTTTTGTCTGAGCCTGCGTTCTGGGTGCAGCAGAAGGCAGTGTTGCAGATGCCTTATTTTCCACTGCCTTCCTTAATGATGGGATAGAATTCCACCAACGTTCGTGTTTAACCTGAAAAGTCTCCCACTGGGAAAAGTCTCTGGCTCAGGCAGCAGGACTATTTTTAGCATTATTTTAGTACAGGTTTAAACTGCTATTTTACTGAATATTGTAGCTATTAATTTTAAACTTAAGCAAGGATAGGGTTGCTAAGTATAGTTCTCCCACCTACTTAAAATAATTTTCATCAGAGTTTTTCCAGTTCAGCTGCACGTCAAGGAATTGGTTCAGTCCATTTACGAAGGCCTTGCAAAAACCTGAGGGGAGTGTTTGCAAACAGTTTTTACACCTCCCCTTCCCCTGCCTTCGTGTGCACAAGTAATGTGTTCTTTGGTGCCAGTGTGAAAAAGACAAAAACAGTCTGTTATTATCCCACATCTTTACTGCCTTGTTTGTACCTCTAGGTTTCTATTTTCCAGTGCAACTTCATGTGTAATTTAATATAGTTCTTCTTTGACACTGAAAATTGAGTATTTTCTCATGTTAAATGTTTTTCAAGAATATGCTACAGCTGCATAATCTACCTTCTGTTTTGTCTTTGATTTAACTCTTGGTTGATCCTCTATTTCCATTTTTATTCTAAGCAATGCTGGGATAGACATCCTTCTACATAACTATTTGAAAGTCTAATTATTGCAGTAGGGATTGCCAGAAGTGAATTCTTGGCTCCTTAAGGCTTTTGACACATGCTGCCAGATTACCTTTGAAAACCTAGTGCAAGCCTAGGGTGCCTGGGTGCCTCAGTTGGTTAAGCAACAGACTCTTGATTTCAACTCAGGTCATGATCTATGGTCTGTGTGATTGAGCTGCCAGTGTGGAGCCTGCTTGGGATTCTCCACTCAGACATGTGTGCGTGCACACACTCTGTCTAAATAAACTTGAATATAAACTTGTGCTAGGTGGTCTTTTTTTTTTTTTTTTTTTTAAACCTACAGTGTATGTACACTTCTCCCCCAGTTCAACCCATGCCGGATTGATAACTTCAAGGAAATTGTTGGATAAGCATGTCCTTGTGATGCAAAAAAATTTTTTTTGTGATGCAAAATTTTTAAATAAGGAAGAAAAGATAATGGACTCTCCTTCTGTTTTTCTTCTTAGCCTGTCTTTTGGAGCCCTTGTCCTTGACTGATAAGGAGCAAATGTCTTTCTGAGGCATAATTGAGGGATGTTGGGTACAGGGGTCACAGATGGTTTTTGACTGCTTTTTTCTTAGAGCTCTGTTTGTGAGTGTTAGGACTTGATAACTCATGGTACTGAAGACTTGAGTATGTCAAGCTACTCCAGAGCTTTGTGGTAACGTTAGCATGTGTAATCAGTAATAGGTCATAGAATATGACCCACTTGAGGTATTGTTAGTACTGTTACTCATAATGCAGTGTTGATGGCTGCGTCCTGAAGATACCACTATGTTCCGACTCCTATGTTTTGCCTCATTTTTCATGGCCTCTGCAGACTAGGGCTTTGTGACGTTGTCTAAACTCCAAAGGAAAGGATGATAGCTATTGTATTTCCTTCCCCAAGGGAGCTGGGATCTATGGCTGACTTTTTTTTTTTTTTCAGTTACTGTGTACTAGGCCCTGAACCTCAACACTTGATTTCATATGGTTAATCCTGACAGCATTTATGGCAAGTACTAATGTCTCTATTTTATTGACAAATTTGAAGCTCAGGTAACTTCCTTGGAATCACACAGCTAGAAATGAGCAGAGCTGGGGATTGGCCCCACAGCCCAAGTACAGAGTCCAGGCTCAGTGTCCCTGATGGGTGGGAGGAAATGAAGATTAAAACCAGAGAAACACTCAAAACCATTGGGATTCCAGCTCCGACGTTCTTTCCATCTGCCGCACGCGGGTGTGATTTATGCCGACGGAGAGAAACTGAGGAGACAAAGTAGGTGATTGCACAGCAGTCTTGTTGTAACCTAGTCACACGTTTCAAGTGAAGAGTGGCTTAGGGTGTCTTTGAGAGGTCCTAGTCCAGCATCAACTTTGATTTTTTTCCTAACTTGGGAGATTAAGTGGATAAAGAAATAAGGGGGTTGGAGTGAGGAAGGCATTGAGTGGATAGAAGGTAGGGGAAGTTCCATGAGTAACTGTAGGAATCCTAGGGGACTAGAAGCTAGGAGGAGCATAGTCTAATCAGACAATTAGGTTTAATCCGACAATTAGGAAGCAAGACAGAGGAGGGAAAGCTACCCAATTTGGAGGATGTGTGTTAGTATTCAGGGTAATCAGACAGGGAGAATCCTCAGCATATGTAATAATGAACGGGCCAGCAGATGGATGATGGGGAGAGGTGGGTGGCTTTACGCTACTCCTATGTTCTTTTAATATGAAATTATAGCATAATTGCATCAACTCATTTAAAACAAGGTTATGCAATTAGGGTCCTGCTGTTAAAAGCTTCCAGAGATTTCCGTGTGCTAGGTGGAGTTACGTTTACTTTAAAAAAACCAAACTTGTGCTCTCTTTTCATAGACTTAATTTTATTTAATGCTCAATTTTTGGTGTTTACTGGTTGTGCAGTTTCTGAGCTAGTTTGGAGCTAGATTCAGAGCTAGTTTAGAGATGAAATACATGAACAGTTCGGCTGTGGAAAGCCCAGAGGAATGAAACTGTGGGCATGGGGAATCCCTTGTTGGAGAGCGTTTTCATGTGGTCCTAGGCAATTTTCTTTTATAAGAAAATCAGTTTATTACAAACCGGAACAAAATTTAAGTCTGTAAATTTCTACCTTTCCCTTTGAAGTTGTCAAAACTTTAATGTTGCTCTTTATTGTGGTAAAAACATAGAACCTAAAAGTTACCATCTTAACCCTTAAGTATACAGTTCGGTGGCATATTAAGGATGTCACTGTTAAGAGACCAATCTCCAGAACTTTTTATCGATCTTGAAAAAGACTCTGTACTCCATTAACTCCATTCTTGTCCCCACTGCCCCTCGAAATCACCAGTCTCCTTGGTTTCTACGAAACTACTACAGACACCTCAAGAGTAGAGTCACACGGTATTTGTCCATTAGTTGCCCCCTTGTGTGACTTAACGGGATGTCCTGAAGGTTTATCCATGTTGTCAGGTGTAGCAGAATTTCCTTTCTAAGGTTGAATGATCTATTGTACGTGTCCACCATATTTGGCTTATCCATTCATCCATGGCTGGAGAATTGGGTTGCTTCTGTGAACATAGGTTTGTAAATCCCACTTGGAGGTGCCTTTGATCTCGTTCAGATATATACCCACATGTGGGACTGTTTGATCGTATGGTAGCTCTATAGTTAGATTACTGAGGAATCTCGGTACTGTTTTCCATAGCAGCTGCACCGTTGTACCATCTTACTGTGTATGGGAGTTAGAATTGCTCTCCATCCTCACCAACCCGTTTTTTTTTTTTTTTTTTAACGGTAACTGTCCTGATGGCAAAGAGATCTAGTACATCAAATGTTTCCTCATAAAACACTATGATTGGAGATGTATCTGTTGACTGCTACATTACCTAAAGAGAATGTTTAAAGCACATGTATATAGGAGTACTGGTTGCCCAAGAATATTCCAGACAGTGTTCCACTTTAAGTGTTTGAATGGAGTTCTACTTTATTTAGTGCGTTCAGTTCTGTAAATAGGGAGTCCTACAGTGTGCCAGTTGAGAACACAAGGCTTCTTACAAGTAAAGCCAGAGTTGAACCTTTGAAAAGGAGTAGAGGTTCACCTGCTAACTTTTTTAGGGATGTGAGTGGAGTCCCTGCAGTCAGACCCATTGAGGAAAAGGAAGGCCTGTTGAGGAAAACTCCGGGCAGTATGATGGTGTGTGGACATGCTATTCAAGGAAGGTGAGGTCCCAGAAGTTGGCCTGATGCACGTCTCAGAGCTTGGGTTTTAACCTATCGAAGGTGGGAAGGCAGTACAACATGGAGTGACATCAGCACATCACTCTCACAACGTAGTGGTGCATCGGAGATGAGGTAATTGGTTTTCTGTAATTTCAGGTGAGATCAGAGCTGACCAAGGGCAGCAGTAGTAGGGACAAGGAAGGGGGGAAAGTTTCAGAATAACTAGAAAAATCAGCCATTTGCTATTAAGTATGTGGGTGGTGAAATAAGAGGGAAACTTGAATACAAGTCCCAAATTTCTGATAGGGATTCTATGATCTGAGAATGAGAGCAGGATACTGGGGGCACATGTAATTCCATTTTGGACATGTCGAGGTTGGTGCATCTGTTGTAAGACCTGCAAATGGCGAGGATGTCCAACTGGCCTTGGGTTGAAGTCCAACTTGCCAGAGAGTTCAGAGATAAAGATGTACTCTTGGGATTCATTAGACTGGTTAAAACCAGGACTCTGGGTTTATTTTGGGTAGCCCCAAAATAGGGTGTGGGGCAGAAAAAAGGAGGCCTCTAAGTGTGATGTTGATGGATCTGGAGAATGGGCTGTGAGAGTTGGGGTGGACCAAGAGGGAGTTGGGTCACAGGCTAAGAACATAGAAGTGTTCTCAGACTCACCTGAAGCATGTGGACCTTTGCCCAAGCCATTTCTGTAACTCTGTGGCTGTGGGAAGCTAACCTTAGCAAAATGTTCAACGAGGAGGTAAAGAGCTTGAATATAAAATGCTTTTTCAAGAAGCTCAGGTGGGTCAAAGGAAGTTTTTATTGACAAAGGGTGGGAGAGATTGGAGCATCTTCTCATGGAAGAGAAGAGGTCAGTTACCATTAAAGGAGCTTGTGTTCTGTAGGGCTTGCTGTGTACAGTGGATTCAACATCTGTGCGTGGACACATGCAGGGGTGAAGATTGTGCCTGGGCCACTGATGAACTGAGGCACAAGACTAAGTGGCTGTGGGTGACATTGGCTAAGAGCCCTCCCCCCCCCAACCTGTGTGGATCTCTTACCTACAGCACTAAAGATGTCTCCTGGTTTTGAGGGACAAATTGAAGATTTATGGTGAAGAATGAATAGTTAAAATAGAACTGGTTTCTAAAAGACCCTGGGGGGGGGGGGGGGGCGGAAATCTTGGTGAAATTAGTTTTTTTTTTTTTCTTTAATAGGAGTAACACATTTAGGGGAAATTAAGGAAATGAGATAGAGAAAAACTAAAATATTGACGGACTTGGTATTAAAGATGTTTGAAGGATAATTTTTTTGTGAGGAGTCCAGGACTTTATTTTTCATCCATGTTGTCACAGGGTCCTTCAGCGTGAATCCCCCTTTTCGGCCTCTCCTGGTATGTCTTCTGCAGGAACAGTGGTTTTGATTTCACCTGCACATGGTGACCCTTGGCTTCATATTTATGGACAGATTCATTACTCAGGATTCGAGTTGCTATTAAGTGCACGGCACTCTATTTTAACAGGGTTGTATCAAGAACCTACTGGGGTTTTCTTAAGAGGCTACAATAGCATGCATTCCTTCATCAGTGACTTCTGAGCAATTACTGGGGGCATATCGAAATCATTGCAACATATTTCTATATCAATAAGCTTATTATACACCCCCCCCCCCCCGGAAACTTATCCACATTCCAGTCTAGCCTAAGGAGGAGATGTTATCCCTGACCCTTATTTGGTGGTGAAGATAAGGAAATGCCCACATCAGAGGATTGATTACTTCATAGGCCCCTGCCCAGCTCCATGCGGTGCTCCAGTAATGGGAGGATTCTGAATCTCCTATTGAATTTTAGCTCCAAGTAAGATGCTAGCATTATTTATGAATTTACCTTGTGAGCTATAATTCAAATCCTTAGCCATTCAAATGGAAAAATGAGTCACTAGGAGTAGTGTTTTACTTGGAACCCATTAAAGCAATTTAAGTGAAAGTTTTCCAGGTATAAATACCCAGTTCTCTGCGGGAGGGCGAGATGTAGAAATACCTTTATGAACGCTCTTGGTGAGCGAGGGAGAGTGCATGGATAGTCTTTCAGAGAACTCGGCAGCCGTAAATCCATTTATGAGTAATTCAAGTAATAGAGCCTTGCAGCTTAATGCTAGTTTTTAATAATGTTGTTAAAAGAAACGAGAGGTTTAAATGTAATGCATGGAGAAATGGGGCCATTACAAACTTGAATAAGTGTTGTCAGTAGATCCAGTAGATTCTTTCATCATTTTGTGTATATTGAGGTTGTTGAGTTTAAGTTACTCAAATGGAAATTCTCTTCCAGAGAAGAGTCCTTTGTTTATAGTTTAAGGACTGCTGTGGTTTTCCCAGAGCCTCACTTCTCTCCTCATCCTGGACAAATATATTTGTTCAAAAGTCAACCAGCTGTTCGTTTTATATCTTAGGAAGCAAGACTGTAGGCAAGCACCGAATTTGTGATTCAGGCTCAATTCTTACCCTTACCTCCCATTTCTGTTCCGTGCAGTCACATGCTGGGTGCCTGGAAGGAAAGTAATGGATAGTAATTTACTCCAGCACCGTGTCCAGCATAGGACGTTGCACTAAGAGATGCCCAGAATATATTTGTTGGTAGTTTTTATGAAGTAATCCTGCAAGGAACTACTTCTTATTCTTGACTCCTTCATGGAGGGGGAAAAAAAAAGCAAAAAAAAAAAAAAAAACCCCAAAACAAAAATGGAAAAAACCCTTGCATATGCTGAATATGCAATAGTCTCAGTATCTGTGTCTTAGATGCTTGTCATTGATTTATTTTGGGCAGGTCACTGCTAACAAGCCCTATAGGAGGTTAGCTGTAAGTTTTTCATCACTAATATTCCAGAACTGCTGAAATCTATTGGTCTTAACACTACCCCAGTGCTACACCTGCTAGAAAGCCCTTCTTGATGTAACAAACCGATCTTCCTGGAATTTCAGCCCATCTGTTTCTCTATCAGGAGGAAAGGTGGAGGACAATGATGGCCCATAGAAGGCGCACTTCCCAGAGCCTTGTGAGAGGCAGGTGTGAGAAAGGAGAGCCGTGTGCAGGCCCTGGAACATCCCCTGTAGCTGGGGACCCCACAGTCTGTTCTCTGGTTTTGCCACTCGCTGCTGACTTTCCTGAAATGGCCCATAGACACAGGAACGAGCTATGGGTAGTGGTTTCTGTGGATTTACGCATGGACCGTCCATGCCTCCTGGGATGCTTTCTGGATCAGATCCAGCTGTCACTTCCCATAGAAAACGTCTATGTACATTTAATGCCTCCACCAGATCTTTCGGCAGCGGGGTTCCATTACTGCACGCTCATTAATAACGGGAGGGTGGGGGACCAACCTGTGTAATTGCTATTTGAAGTTCATGGTTAGTGGGGCGCCTGGGTGGCGCAGTCGGTTAAGCGTCCGACTTCAGCCAGGTCACGATCTCGCGGTCCATGAGTTCGAGCCCCACGTCAGGCTCTGGGCTGATGGCTCAGAGCCTGGAGCCTGCTTCCGATTCTGTGTCTCCCTCTCTCTCTGCCCCTCGCCCGTTCATGCTCTGTCTCTCTCTGTCCCAAAAATAAATAAACGTTGAAAAAAAAAAAATTTGAAGTTCATGGTTAGAGTAGACCTCTAAAGACTTAGTTGGCTTTGAAATGTGAATTTAGAAGTTCGTGGTAGGCAAAGCATATTTCTGAGGGTTTGTAATCCGTAATTCACCCCCTGTACCTCTGCATGTAAAATTAACCCTTTCCAATAGCTACTATTGTCTGAATGGGAAAAAGTTGAAAATTCTTGGCCGATGGCTGTCTATGCTCTCAATTAGCAAAAGTTTTTGTTTTTGTTTTTTTCTACTTGAAAAACTCCAGCATTTTGGTAGGTTATGCTCTGCTGGGCTCTGCCAGGTTTTCTGTTGTTGTGTTCATATTAGTGGGTTTCAGGGGCTTCCTGTGGTATGGAGGAAGAACGGGGTACATTATTTTCGCTTCTTTGTGTGCAAGCGCACACACACACACACACACACACACACACACACAGGCTTCCTTCTTTCCCACCAGCTGCCAGATTTGAATAGCTGTCCCGGTTTGCTCTGTCCTATACATTGAATTTTAGTAGGCTGAGTTGAGCTGAGACCAGCCCATTAGAGTGATGGCCAGTTGCCAAACACACCCAAAAAACTTGCTTAAAGATGTCTGAGGAAACGGTTAACAGAGAACATGCCTTTGGGGTGTCAGGGCCTTTGAATTCTTGCTTGTTTTCGCTAAAGGTCTCCCACTAAGGCAGCTTTGAATTAACAGTGTGATTTCTTTATGGGTTTAGTCTCTTTACCAGGGTAACTTATTCTTAAAAAAAAAAAAAAATCACTGGCTACTCAGATAATGTACTTTATAAAGATCTCCCCATTGTACAGATGCTGATAACCCTCCATGAACAAAAGACTGTTCTGGGTCACCCAAGGGTGTGATTGGAATAAAAATAAAACCGGTTCCCAGTGTCTACTTAACACTTGCTCCATCATGCCTGGAAAGCATGTAGCTTTTCTTGCCACGAGTCTGAGGTAGGGTAGAAAATGCTTCATAAAACATTGTAGAGCTTGGCTGCATTTTTCAATGTCCCAGAGAAGATGTTGGTGGGTAGGAATCTGTTGTACAGAAGTTATGGATCCTTGGTAGTTAAAACTTTAAAAAAAAAAAAAAAAGGCATTTGATCATGCGGACTGATTTCTGTAGTTGGATTCTGCTGCCGAGGAGGTCAAGGTGAACACCATCTGCCTTCATTGTCACCTGCTCTTGTCCCATTCCCCTACCCTCACTGCTGTGGGGGTCGGGAGCTCACTGCTGGGTTTTGCCGCGCCTGCAGAAAGCACTCGTGCCTGCTTCTAAGGGACTAAATTCTTGGCAACCTCCTTATCTGTAGAGGACTTTATTTCTAGGAAATCTAATTTCAGGAAAATGATCGCATTTCTGAAACTCTTATGTGATAGTCTCCCTTGCTTTGAAAATGAAAGCCTGGGCATTAATATTTTTTCCCTGTTGTGTAGAGTCTTTGAAATTAATTTTGTATTTGTCCACTGGGCATCCTGCTGAAGTAGGAGTTAAATCTGAATTGTGACTTTCATGTTTCTGTCTTAAATTGATCCATTTATTTCAACCCAAATGTGTCCCAGAACTTGTTATAGTTTGCATGTAAACATTCAAAATCTGTGTGATGCTGCTAATCTGAAGAATGTTTTGCATTTCTTGTTAAAAAAACAAAAAAACAAAAACCCCTCTTCTTCCTTTACACTTAAATTAGCACATTACCAAAAGTGCTGCATTTCATGGTACATTAACAGAATTTTACTTTATCCTAACTTGTCAAGGATTGACATTCATTCTTAAACATGGCAAGCAACATTTGAGGTCTGTCTTGAACAAGGTTGTGTTTTTCTTAGAAATAGTGGATAAGCAGTTCAAAAATCAGTCTTTTAAAAACTGAAATTCATCATTTAGAAATGGGCTGGATAAGGTTTTGAGCATTTATGTGATTTGTTGTTAGAACCACCCATGACTTGAAGGTTATGCTCAGTGACATATTATAAAAATTGGCATTGACATTAATTCACTGTCTCTACCCCTTTTGGGTAGATGGATGATACACACTGCAAGGAGGATTTACTGGAAAACATGCTGTAATCAAAATTGTCAAAGGCAGCTACAGGTCTGGGACATGTCATTTGCAGATAAACTGAAATTATGCAAAAGGGAAAATATTTGGAAGGAAAATAATTCTCAATCTCATTATTCAGTGTTTAGAAAGACCTACTAGCTATGAGATGGTGTTGACTATATTTCATTGATAGTTAATTAGTATCTTTGTAATGGTAGGATTTATTCAAATCACTGCATATTAGGGCAGCATTTTAGTCTGAAGGTTGTCAAACATCTTCATATTACACTTGGAGCTTTGAAAACTAATTAGCAAAAAATGAGAGGAGACATTAAATCTATGTCAACTAATCATTTGTATCAAGGCTGCAACATCCAGCTTGGGTGTTAAAAGTGCTGTATGCATGTTTGAGGGTGCCTGCCCAAGTGGGAGTGTGCAGACCTATAACTTGTTACCTAACTTTTTTTTTAATCTACTTGGTTAAACAAAAAAAAACCAAACTGGTTGTAGTTTTACTCTCTCCACTGTCAGGGTAAATACTCATTTTTACCTTCAGCAATTAGGGCGGGGAAGGGGGAAGTCAAATACCAACCAGTGCACTTGCTATGTGTTACTTGTGATATGTAGGAAGTCGAGCACTTGTGGTACGGTATTTGGCAGTTATCAGAAAACTCTAATTTTTTTGGAAGTGTTTGGTTGCCACTTACAGGTGACAGCTGGAGGAATTTTGGAAAATCTTGAGGTCTGCCCTTGAGATATGGGACACTTGGGGTGCCTGGGTGGCTCAGTCAGTTGAGTGTCGAACTTTGGCTCAGGTCATGATCTCCTGGTCTGTGGGTTTGAGCCGTGTGTTGGGCTCTGTGCTGACAGCTCAGAGCCTGCAGCTTGCTTTGGATTGTTTCTCCCTCCCCTGCTCATGCTCTGTGGCTCTCAAAATAATAAACATTTAAAAAAATACATGGGACACTAATGAAGTAAGGAACAGGTTGGGTGGGGCAGAGGTGGGGGGGGAAGGTTCTGTTTTCCTTTCTCCTTTGCTTCACTTGTTGAAAATCTCGGTTGTTCCCACCAGGTCTTGGGGGTGGGGTGGGGCTACCAGGTACGCTTGTGCTGTCTCTGTCGTAAGCAAGGCAGGTGACCCCCTCATTGTCTTGGTATCCTGTGTGCAGTGTCCATTCTAATGAATTATAACTTGTGATAAATATTATTCCTGTTAATGGGAAAGGAAAAACCTGGGAAGGTGGATGCTGTTGCTTTAGTGAGTACCCAGAAGCCCTGTACCATACGTCCTTTACTCTCGGATGTAGTGGGACTATTAGAAATCATCGGCATCTCTGAAGTGTACATATTTCAGAATAACTTTGTATTGAGAGAGGTTTGTGCTCTCCAGTCCCTATGAAGTAGATGAGACTACAATTTCTCAGTATGTGGAAAGTCCCAGACAGAAAACCAGACTCGGTTGGTAGATCCTACTGGTCTACCACTGCCCACTGTGTTCATGTATTCACCTGTTCACTCCTTCAGCCAACGAGGACTAGCTAGATGCCTGCCTTGCGCGCCTGTTGGCGTGTCAGGCTGGAGGGAATGGGACACCTGGTCGTGGTCTCCCCAGTCCCTTTCTCAGAAGTGTGTGGTATACACGTTAATGGGCTTCTGCTTTGGAAGGCCCTTTAATTGTGCAGGAGTTATCACGATGGAATTTTTCATGCCTGAAGATCATACATCTTTCCATTTGGGGATGTTTTTTCTTTACAGAAGCAGTATCTTGTAGATCGCGCCCATTAGAAGCATTCCCAAAAGACCTCCCAGTATAGTTTAACAACCCTGAGTGAATTAGTTGGTGATTCAGAAGTGGCTAGTCTGTTCCCCTATCACTGAAAACAGTACTTTGGTTACTCATATTCTTGGTTTGAAGGACAGTTTACAGCTGCTAAAATTGCTAAGGAAATACCCTAATACAAGAGAGTGGCCTCTTGGCCTTTTAAAAAAGTGACACATTGTTGTTCTTGGTTTCTGAGAGCAATTGTATACATTTCATTCCAATTCACCGACCTTCTTAAGTGGTTGAACTCTTGAACTTGACCAGTGAAGGACTTCCTCAGATGTGTGCTCTGTACTAAACTATGGTTTGTTCTGGCTTTTCCTTAGAGGGGATCCCACTGCCCACTAAGCCAAAGTGAGCAGATCTGTGTGTAGAATTAGTATTTTCCGTGTTTGAGAATCCTTAACAGGGTGTGGTCTTTTTTAGACATGCTTTAAGTGTTTAAAGATTCCTCATGTACTTAACGTAAAAATGTGCGTAACTATCCTGGATGCCCTGGAGTTTTCCTTATGTCTGGGCCTGTGGTCCTCAAAGCCTGTCTGTGGACCCCTGGGTCTTCAAAGTCCACAAGGTCTTGAAAGTCAAATTTATTTTCACAACGCTAAGATTTTATTTATTTATTTATTTATTTTTTTGGTGTTTTCACTGTGTTGACCTCAGCCTGAGTTGAGGCAGCGTCTTGCTGGGCTGACTGTTGTCCTAATCAACCCCATCATACACTTATCATGATGAAAAGATGCCAGTGTCACTTGAGAATGTCTTGGAAGCAGTTGAATGATTTTATTAAACCTTGACTCTTGAGTTTACATGTTTGATATTCTATGTGACAAAACGCGAAAAACGTTTAAAATGCTTTTTCATACTGAAGCATGGTGGTTTTAAGAAAGCCATGTGTGGGGCTCCTGGCTGGCTCTGTGCATAGAGCATTCGGCTCTGATCTCTGGGGGGTGAGTTCAAGCCCCACGTTGGGCATAGGGCATACTTAAAGTGAAAAATTGCAAAAACCTTTTTTTGTTTTTTTTTAAGTCAGCTGAACTAGCTGCTTTTCTCATGGAACAAACACCACTTGTACTGGAAAGTGACAGATAAATCACCAAGGAAAGGTCATTCAGAGTTGAGCATTTGTCAGACATTTTCTTTAAAATGAAGTTGGTGGGGCACCTGGGTGGACCAGTTGGTTAAGAATCTGACTTTCTTGTGCTTTGTGGGTTTGAGCCCCTGATAGGGCTCTGGGATGACAGCGCTCAGCCTGGAGCCTGCTTCAGATTCTCTGTCTCTCTCTGCCTCACTTGCACTTGTTCGTGCTCGCGTGTGCGCGTGCTCTCTCTCAAATGAACATTAGAGGCACCTGGGTGTCTCAGTCAGTTAAGTGTCCCACTTCGGCTCAGATCATGATCTCAAAACCTGTGGGTTCGAGCCCCGTGTCGGGCTCTGTGCTGACAGCTTGGAGCCTGCAGCCTGCTTTGGATTTTGTTCCCTGCCCCCCACCCCCCCAACCCTGTGTCTGCCCCTCTGTTCACTCTCTCAAAAATTAAACATTTTTTTAAAATAAACATTGAAACAATAAAATGAAGTTAGCAATCACTTCAAGGAAAATCATGGCTAGTATTTGTGCCAAGTGCAGAAAGGAGAAATGTTGCCCTAGGGAAATCGGGGAGCTCTGCATTGGGGCCCCAAGAGCTCCATACGATTCTCCAGGGAGCTGGGCCCTGTTTGGTCTGCTCTCTGGCATCCTTGTGAATTCACCAGTAGCTCTTGAGTAGCAAGGTTAGATGTGTTTTTGTGTTTGGGTCAATAACTTCATGAAAATATACCACCACCTTTTCCCCTGCTTCTACACGTGCACAGACCAGGGATGTTTTTGCATTTCTCAAGTCACAGGACCAGCATGGCAGGGGTTCTAGTCTTCGAGACCTTTGCTACCGGTTCTGCTTGGTTTCTATTTAGGGGTGACATCGTGACTGAAGCAGATGTTACAGTTCAGCACCAGGCATTGTACTAAAGGAAATAGAAAATGTAGCAGACTGGCTTAATCCATTTTGACATCCCATATGAAGCTGCTGAAAATTGGAAAAATGGCAGGGTGCAAAGGTCTAGAAACAGACCACAAAGGAAGTATGTTGACATAGAGTCAAGAAAAAAGACTGGAAGGAAACATACCAACAGGATAACATTTATCTTTAGGTGGGCTGGCCTAATTTTTTTCCCCCATATTTTGACCTTTTCCAAATTTTCTAAAATGACCTTGGATTACTTTTCTAATAAGTAAACTTCTTAAGACCAGTCTGTTTCATAGTGAAGTCCATATAATGTCTGCTGACTTTAAGTTCAGCAGTATTCTGTATTTAACCATGATAAGGAGAAACCTTGTCATTGAATTTAAATTTTGCTGTTATTTTAAAAATAGCAAGGTAGGAAAGAGTCACCTATGGACTTTTTTCCCCTCAAAGAACAGCGTATCAAACTAGCTCCAGATTGATCGTGAGTTAGGTTGTACTGGACGAGAATGCCCTTTGTAACTTTCCTAGTGATCTGAAAGGGATTGGAAGCTTGCTGTGATGTAGAAGTTTACCTATACTTGCTTAGCTGTAAATTACTAACTTCTGGCCCAAAGGTAATCATGAATGTCCTAAGCTGTTTATTCAGGAATACCTTTGTCAGAGGCTGTAGGCTTTAAAAACAAACTTCCAGATTCCTTAAGAACATTGTTAGAGCATTTTTTCTTTCCACAAAGATCCAAAATTTTCTTAAACTAGAGAAAAAAATTATCCTCGAAGAAAACAGAATGGTAAGCTTTCTGACTCTGCCTTCCCTCTAAGTGCCCTGGGATCAGGTGGTTTCTGGGCAGGGCGAGTGATGGTACTTGGCCTGGTTACAGTAAATGACAAGCTCCCTGCATTCTCAGATTGCCTGTGGTCCCCTGTCCTAGGTGGGTCCTTGGGAATTCTAGATACACACCTGGTACACCGTGAGCATTCCCTAAATGTTGGCTGAATGAACGAATGGGCGATGAGATCCCTCCCTCATTGTGGATTTTTCTTAATCCTTTGTAAATACTTCAAAGTCTCGTATCAGTAAAGAGCCTGTACTGTTAATTGCTCTTACTGAAGTGGGTGGCTGAGACTGGACCACTTCCTGGTCATGACCACACAGGCAGCTTGGTCCTGGACCCCTGTCCTGATAGCTGAAGGTGGACATGAAGGAAAGGGGCGGGGCGTGGGCTGGGCAGAAAGCGGGGCCGAATGTCATTAGAGAAATCGAGCAACCCTCCTGGTTCCTGATGCATTCGGAAGGGGGGCAAGGGAGAAAGCAACGGGACAAGTGACTAGAAGGGAGGGCAGCTGGGGGAGTGTGGACAGTGGTGGCATGGTCTGATGTGCAGAACCACATAGGCCAGTCCTTCACCCCTGTCCCGAGTGGCCTGCCGGTCGTCTTTGAGCCTGTTTGAGGACTGACAGTAATTCTAACAGCAGCCGATGAATGCTTATCATGGGCCAGGCATGTTCTAGACGAATTCGTTCAGTCCACCCGATAATCTCGAGTAGGTACTTTTTACAGATGACGAAGCAGTTGACAGAGTTAAACCACAGTCCTGGAAATGGAAGGTGCTGGGATTTGATCTCTAACAGACAGCTTGAGCTCCGTCAACTTCCTGCTTCCCTTCCTCTG